GTAAGCCTTACTTCAGTAGTGGGGAAAGTGATGGAAACCATGTTAAAGGATAGGATTGATAAACATCATCTAAACACACATGGATTTCAAGATCAGAGACAACATGGGTTTACTTCAGGGAGATCGTGCCAAACTAATCTTATTGATTTTTTTGATTGGGTAACTAAAATTATAGATCAGGGTGGTGCAGTAGACATTGCTTACCTAGATTTCAGTAAGGCTTTTGACACTGTTGCACATAGAAGGCTTATCAATAAACTGCAATCTTTAAGTTTGGATTCCAATATTGTTGAATGGGTAAGGCAGTGGCTGAGTGACAGGCAACAGAGGGTTGTAGTTAATGGAATATATTCGAAGCTTGGACTTGTCACCAGTGGGGTACCTCAGGGATCTGTACTTGGACCCATTCTCTTTAATATTTTTATTAGTGATATTGCAGAAGGTCTTGATGGTAAGGTATGTCTTTTTGCTGATGATACTAGATATGTAACAGGGTTGATGTTCCAGGAGGGATAAGCCAAATGACAAATGATTTAGGTAAACTAGAAAAATGGTCAGAATTGTGGCAACTGACATTTAATGTGGATAAGTGCAAGATAATGCATCTTGGACGTAAAAACCCAAGGGCAGAGTACAGAATATTTGATAGGGTCCTAACCTCAATGAGGAAAGGTATTTATGGGTGATTATTTCTGATGACTTAAAGGTAGGCAGACAACGTAATAGAGCAGCAGGAAATGCTAGCAGAATGCTTGGTTGTATAGGGAGAGATATTAGCAGTAGAAAGAGGGAAGTGCTCATGCCATTGTACAGAACACTGGTGAGACCTCACTTGGAGTATTGTACACAGTACTGGAGACGTATCTTCAGAAGGATATTGATACCTTAGAGAGGGTTCAGAGAAGGGCTACTAAACTGGTTCATGGATTGCGGGATAAAACTTACAAGGAAAGGTTAAAGGATCTTAACATGTATAGCTTGGAGGAAAGACGAGACAGGGGGGATATGATAGAAACATTTAAATACATAAAAGGGAATCAACACAGTAAAGGAGGAGACTATATTTAAAAGAAGAAAAACTACCACAACAAGAGGACATAGTCTTAAATTAGAGGGACAAAGGTTTAAAAATAATATCAGGAAGTATTACTTTACTGAGAGGGTAGTGGATGAATGGAATAGACTTCCAGCTGAAGTGGTAGAGGTTAACACAGTAAAGGAGTTTAAGCATGCGTGGGATAGGCATAAGGCTAGCCTAACTATAAGATAAGACTAGGGACTAATGAAATTGGGCAGACTAGATGGGCCGAATGGTTCTTATCTGCCGTCACATTCTATTTTTCTATAAGTAATCATACTCACTACAATTACGCTCCTTCTAAGGCCTCACTTTGCCTTCATATCGCTCACAAATAGATCCACATCTATGGGATCCCTGGGGCTTGTCTCAAAAATGTGGACCAATGTTCAGGTCCCTCAGCTTACACAGGTGCTTATGCTACAGTTTCACTGTTACACACCTTTCCATACGATCTACATTTTTACACTTGGAATACCAGTGGCATACATCATGCCTACTAGCATCTTTTTTACCTCTAGGTTCCTGGACTGGACCTGTTCTTCACAATATATATATATACATATATTTATACATATATATTGAAGTCGCCCTGAGCATTGTCTTAATTTACAGGTCAAACACTCAAGGTCAGTATCTACATAGATTAGATACTTCCGTCAAGAGACAAGCCCCCGTCAGGTTAGAGAACTGGCTTTCAGGGTCAGGCGCTGGCACTAGCTTTCCCAAATAATTCTGCGGTCCGTGAGGTCTACACACCCACCTCACACACGGAGGTTCAGCCCCACGACCAAATCATAGCTAGCCACTTCGCTCGCTCTTCTTTGGGCTACAGTTAGGGATTCCCATGTCATTATTCATTTCAGAATGTCTCAAGAACCGACCATCGATCCCCCACCCAGCACGCGAGCCGGGTCTGGGTCTCCGGAGGAATCCCTCACTCCTTCTACTCCCAGATCCCTAAGATATTGGACCATTCCCAAAATATCGGCTGAGCTCAGGCTCAGGGGGATCCCATTTCCAGCCACCATTAGAAAGGCTGAACATTACAAACTTCTGACGGCTCAGGCCAACAACCCGAGGCCCGGCACGAGTTCACAAGGGCCTCAAGTTGGCTACTCTGATTCCACCCAGGACACTCTGGCTGCTGCACTGGCCAGTCTGCAAGCCATAAACAGCAGGTTGCTGAAGGTGGAATCGGCCATAGCCACTCCAGGTGACTTTCCAGCCCCAGCAGTCCCTACTCCGGTAACCTCGACCACTGAGACTGCCATACCCCTTATCTCCCCTCCCCCGCCAGCCACTACCACTGCTCACGCCTCACCAGCCCACTCTGTCCCAGCTTCCATCAAGAAAGATATTCTTGATGGAAAGGACGTCAATTTAATGTCCCTCCTCATAGCCTCACAAGACATCGTAGAGAATAGAGCTTACAAATATGGGGACATTTCTGTAGTCCTAGGAGCCAGAGATCCACGTTTGAACAAAAAACTCACCATTCCACAGTTTATCGCTTTCGGCACTTATCAAGATGTTATTTGCACGGTGTACCCACGTAGGAGGGAAGAGCTTGATTTGTACATGCACAAGGTTGTTGATTTGGGCATCAAGTACAGAGGGTCCTCATTTTATGATTACCATAAATCCGTTTCGGCCAAGGCAGCAACTCATCTGGCACAGTTCAATAGTAGAATTGATTGGTGCCAGATAGATACCGAGTTTTTTTGCCGTCATTTCGCTGGTTTGAGGCCCCCGTCTTGTGCCTTTTGTGGTTCCACTTCACATTCCACCGACCTATGCCCAGGAGACGCAGACCCTTCCACTTCCACCTCCACCACTCCTTCACCACACTCCAAAGACAGGAAGGCGGCCAGAGAGACAAGTTGGGCAGACCCATCATATTCTTGGGTAAGGCGCAGGTGTGCAATAACTTCAACACAGGCGCATGCAGGTTGTTGCACATCTGCTCCATCTGTTTCAGAGCCCACACCAAGACCATGTGCCCAACCCGTCTGACACCTAACATATAGTTGGTTCTATCCGCACTCTCCACCAACTGGGTGACCAAGAACTATCTGGTGGCAGATCCTTCGCACAGGCTCTCACACGGGACTCACGACCTTCCACTTATTTTCCAATCACACGACCTAAACCAGGGATTACCTGCATATTATGGCATCACGTAAGGTGGACCTCCGTTTGTCCACAAGCATACGTCAACACCAAGTCTAAACCATGTCTTATCACAAGCGTACCTACCTCTTCACAGGGGGCTACTTACTTGCACTCCAAGTAATAAAAGTTTATTTGACCTTTCATATCTCTTTTCTTTCCCTCCAGTTCCAGCTTTAGGCTCTCTCATACCCGACGTATAGTTCTTGTTGTTTTTACCTACATTCTACTTTTACACTCTTTTCCGCTCTCAATTTCAGGTCTCCAGCCAGGCTCCCCCTCCGGCCCACTTCCAACCATCCAGAACACAGCTGTTTAAACGAACTATTACTCCTCGCACAAGCACTCAAGCCCTATCTCCCAGCACCACTATCTCTTACGCTAGGGCACTGACTATTTTTAACAAATTCACCGCTGAGTTTTGCTTACATCAAAACCATGGTGGCTTTTGCCTCCTTTTGCCATTTACTTCACACAACACTGTCAAACTCTACCTTACCGGAGTACACCACCACATCCTCACTACCTTCCCTAATCATGCTCCTTTTCCGTCTTCCTACCTCATCAAAAAAAAAATCCTCAAAGGTATTTTTAAGGTCACATTTCTTCCTAGCACTACTAGGTTACCAATAGACGGTCCAATTTTCAGGCTCCTTAGCGATCTATTGGACAAATCACCGTTTGACCATAGTACTAATTTGGTCATTAAATCCACCATCTTTTTGGCTTTCTACGGTTTCCTGAGACCTAGAGAGAGTTCACCGTGATACATCAAGGAGACACAGTCCAATGTCTAAAACTTTCTCACTTAAAGAAAGTAGACGACCATTACATACTCTCATTGTCTTCTACTAAAACCAATCACTGTGCCTATCCTATTATCATTCCCCTCTTCCCTACCGACAATCTGTGGTGCCCAGTACATATTCTGCATTTGCTCCTGTTATCTCACCATACTCACTCTCCAGACACTCCACTACTTCTACTCCAAGGACACCCACTCACCACAGCTAAATTTATTTCACACATCAGAACTCTACGATCAAGGTTGGGCTACAACCCAGCTTCCTTCTCTGGTCACTCGTTTCGCATCGGCGCAGCATCATTGGCTTCAAGCACTAACACTCCGGTACACATCATTAAGAGACTAGGGCGCTGGAAATCCTCCATATACAACATCTACATCCCTCGACCAGAAAGGGAACTTAGGCAAGCCTTCAGAAATATCGCTGTTTAAACTTGCAATAAAGTGTGTTTACCTAAATTCCTTTTTGCCCTCTTTTTACAGGCCTAAACGTACGTTGTTTTTGGCACACCTCAACCAACTTTGCTTCTCCTACCCCCTTTTAATTAATTGCAATAATTACCTTTATGGCTTAACTCCATTTCTAGTGGCCGTCTACCAGACAATTTTTTTTTTAAAACTGTTTTCCTGACACCACAGTTTCATTTTAACTCTGGTGCCCTGACAACGGCTAGTTATTAGACCTGATAGTTTTATGTTCTTTCTGATATGCCCAGGACATACTTGAAAACGAGAGAAATCTCAATGTATCTTTCCTGGTAAAATATTTTATAAATAAATATGTTCACATTTGGGGAATGTGTAGTCTGTACATCTGGCGGGTACAGACAACAGTACATGCTCCTTATGATCATAACTCTTGCAATGAAGCAATGTGTTGTCATTGTAAATTGGAAGCAATACTGACTTCAATGAGCCCAAGCAGTGCACAGGATAATATAAAGTGTTCTGCACCATCGCAAACTTTAATAGAGTGTAAAAATTACATAGAGCACATGTTTAATGTACAATAGTGAAAACTGTTGTCACACTCCAAAACATTCTTACAAAACACTTCAGTTTCTATAATCAACAGAAATGGGCAATCTGTTACAAGTTTGGAAGCGGGACCCTTTGACAGGTGACGTTCCAGGGGCTGGTTGCAATAACTGCCATTGCGACTTGTAGTTCTATCAGTGATATAAATCAGTGATGCTGTTACTCTGACCATTTCTAGAAGTTATACTGCAGAAGTACCTTTTAGACACACTATAGAAAATGTTCATGTGAATGAAAGAACACACACGCAGTTAAATTTAGGTTAGAGAGTCATAAAACCCCCACCAAACTTTTAAAAACAAAAAACTTAAATTAAATATACACAAACGTTTGCATTTTTTCTTTGAACTTCATAATGTTAACAGTTTTCATAAGCAAACCGCTTGACAGAAAGATATTTCTAACAAACTGAAGACAGATATAGAAGTAGCATTACACACACAGCGCACGTCACAACAAACATGACTTGGTATGGCTTTATAAGAAAATAAAATGTCATCTATTACAAGTACAGAATAAGGGGGTTTTTTTTGTTTGTTTTTTGGTTTTCCAAATCTTTAATGCTATGCTCTCAGCATAGCAGTAAAGACAATAAATAAAACATTCAGAGGATGCTTCTCAAGCACCCCAAATATCACCACGGCATAATAAATAAATATACCTCCTAATAATGTATTTGTTCAATTTCAGAAGCTTTCTTTCTATTTCAATCAAGCATCTTTTAAGATATACGTTTGCTTTACTAGCACAAAGTATGGATTTAACATATGTGTGAAATGCAAGATAATTTGGTAATTGAAAGAAACTTTAAACCCCCATTGATTGACAAATTAAAAATTGTCAAGGTCACTTCAAATAGATTCCGCACTGAAGATGGATTCTGTTTGTTTAGATTTTGTTATATATATTTTGCAAATCCTAGTAGAGTGAACTTGCTATTTTTTACTTAGCAAATACAAATTTTAGAATTCAATATTTTATGCAAATCATCCACTTCGTACTTCCACATGGTCTGGTGTACAGGATTTTCTGATAAATCTGTAATCTTCACTGCACGTAAAACAGGCTCAGGATTGCAAGACAACACCACTCCCATTACCATCACATATTTTCCTGCAATGAAAGAGGAAAAAAAATAAATAAAAATTTACGGTAAGTAAAATGTTCTTAGTATTTGCAGCAGTACACATGGGTTGTAGTGATGGGTACTTGAAAAAGTAAATGGTTAAAAAGTTACATAAAAAGAACCCCACCGATACCCTCAGCCATACCCAGCTAGATCAGAGGTCAGATCATACAAAAATATATTAAATAAGAAATAATTTCACATTTTATTAATATTAAATATCTGATGTGACATGAAAGTCCTGTTTCTCCTGCCACATAAAAGAAAAAGAATGACTTACGGCCATAAAAAAAACCAGGTTAAAGAATATCCCCAATGTGCTGGAATGTCTAGCCACACATTTACATTTACCATTATAAAACTCTCTAAAAAAAATTTAAAGGCAAGAGTCCGTAAATATTCTTAAGTGTTTCCAAACAATTCGATTAACTTGATCAAATTGTGAATTAAATTAAGTTGCAAATGTCAGTAAAGTATCATTATAGTCCTAATTCTCAATTTTCCTGGTACCAAAAGTCTTAGAAATCAAACCTGTTCTATCTGATTGTAAAGCTCTAGAGAAAGTTTTCCACATCATTTTCAGAATATCCCCTCTCTTAAAACTACTCTTGCACAAGCGTCCTCAAGGAACACATCAAAATCAGAGCAGTTCCTTTATAACATCAATAACTGAACAACTGGTCTAGACTTAGTGTCCTCGGTGACTAGAAGTAGCATGGAGAATTGCAATACCAGCAATAGGTTTTCTATACGTAGATGTAACCATGTCTGAACAAAAGCTTTTCGTGACTTAAAGCCAACACTTATACGTTCTTCTTTCAGGAAACAAATGATGACATACGTAATGATGGTGATGTGAATGTTTACCAATGTTGATTAACTTTGAGAATCAGATTAATGATGAAATTATTATGTTTAGAGATCAGACAGCAGTTTATATTTCTTTTGAAAGTGAAAATTCTAAGTTGGGTTTACATTTCTAAACAGGGCATGAAAAAGAATAAAGGAATAGTGCATAGAAAAGTATAGTTTCTATCCAGATCAGGCTAGAGGTAGTGCCTGACAGATAATTTTTAATATTTAGTAGAATGTGATTTCAAACTTAATAGACATGAGAAAAAAAAAAAATAATAATTTAACAGTTAACGAAAGAGAGGCTTTATTGTTAAAAATCCCTGCTCACACCAGGGAGTCCCAGGTATCAATAATTATCTGTTGCTCCCCTCTGAAAGCCAGGGAAATTTTTCGCAGAGCCAGACTCACAGGTGAATTGCTTGCAGTTGCATGACTGTCACAGCCTACAGCTCTTTAATTCCACAGTGCAAAGCTTGACAAATTTGCCTGGAATACAGTTTTTTTTGATTAGTCAAAGTTTTTATACGTCAACAATACAATTCTTACATGGACACTATAGTCACCAGAACAACTTAATGTAGTTGTTCTGAGGTCTATATCCTGTCCATGCAGGCTTTTCAATGTAAACATTACTTTTCCAGTGTTCACATTGCTGCCTACAAACATCTCTAGTGACAGTCAGACGGCCTCTAGAGGTGCTTCCTGCACAGTGTGCAGCACCTACATTAATGCTCAAATAGGGATGCATTGATTCAATGCATGTCTATGAGGAGAAATTGATTGGTGCAGCGTGGCGTTTTGAGCTCATGCACAAGTGTCTCAAAATACTTTCCCATAGGAAAGCATTAGATTGGCTGATAACGTCAAGATTGATGATCTCAGCCATGGAGGTGGGGGGTCATCTGCGGTGTCATCAGCATGGCACGGGAGAAAAGGTGAGTAAAATCACTTTCCCATGTAATTAGAGGGGACAGGTCACTAAACACACATAACAGGCACACACTGATTTGATACACACATTCACTAACAGACACACATGCACTGAGACAACTCGGGGGGCTAAACAGGCACACAAATCCCAAGTGCCAGGACCTGGCGCCTGGGATTTGTCATGCCCTGTCACAGTGATTCTCTCACTGGATGGGAGACCCCCAGAGTCTGAACAGACTATGGATGGTCACCCTCTATGCCTCAATAGAATTTTCATTTAAAAAAATTTTTTTTTAAATCTATTTTTGGCATGACATTGCGATACAATGGTGAGAAATTACATGCATTACATGGTACGGGTATTAATCAACATCTGTTGGTAGCCGATCTATATTCCAGTTTGCATCTGATTATACCACCTTTACAGTTCGCGTGTTTTTGCTCAATTTGCATGAATGTGTCATTTTTTACATTCAAGTTATGGAAGAACATGTAATAACTTATAGCAATTACAGCCAATGTCAAACTCAGATTTCAGTCATCAGTAAGCAATGTTATGAGTCATGAAACCGTGATCATTGCGGGGGGACCCGTTGGTTATAGACCTTGACCCATTATGGTTGGGAACGTATAGTCTTGGTCCCTTTTCTGGCAACGGTGTTGAAATAAGGTGGGGGGGGAGTGGGAGCCCTCATGGTGGAGTGCGGAGCGCCATGGTGGGAGGCTCTTTTGGTATCGAATTGGGTGTTGAAACCGCAGGGAGTCCCTGGTATGTTACTCTCTCAGCTCTCCCAATCCCCTGTTTTCCACAGGTCCCAGACTCTTTCATAAGTTTTCATGTTGCCTCTCACTAGTGCCGTAAGGTGGTCCATGACCTGTATGTCTTTTATTTTGTGGATTACTGTGTTTATCTGGGGGGTTGTTGTTTTAAGCCATGCCTGCGCCATGGTGAGTCTGGCCGCAAGCGTGATTTTGTGCAGGAGTTTCTGTTCCCTCCTGGGCCAGTCGTCTAGTGTTCTGGAGAGCAGAAAAACCCATGGGTCTAATGTTACTTTCCTGTGGAATACTTTAGCTGGGAAGTCACCTATTTCCCTCCAGAAGGTCTGCGCTCTCGGGCAGTCCCACCACATGTGGATGTACGTCCCTTTGTTTCCGCAGCCTCTCCAACACAAATCGTTTGGAGTTTTTCCACATACGGTACAGTTTTACTGGGGTAGTATAGCATCGCAGCATGGTCTTGTAGGCCTGCTCTTGTTGGGTGACACACGCTGAGATAGCTTTGTTTGCGTCCCATATTTCTCTCCATTCTGTGCCCTCTAGGGTCTCTTTGAGGTCTGTTTCCCATTGTGTGGTGTAGTGTAGGTCGCCCCAGTCTGTGCTGTTTGTGGATAGGTGTGCGTAAAGGTATGAGATGAGTCCCTTTGGGGGGGTTTTCATTGAGGCACATTCGTTCAAAGCCCGTTGGCGCAGTTTGTGCCGCCGTTTTAGCTAGGTTATGTTGTGCGAAGTCTCTAATTTGAATATATCTAAAGAAGTCTGGGGGTTGTAGCCTGGTCCTTTCCTGTAACTTTTCAAATGTCACGATTTGGTTTCCTTCATATAGGTGGATCGCCCTCTGTAGGCCCGCCTCCTCTATGTTTTGAAGTCTCGGGCCCTCATTCCCGGTGGGAACGCTCTGTTCCTCAACAGGGGCATCAGAGGAGAGGATGAAGTGGTTAGTTTATGTTTTTGAGCCGCTATATAGTAGTTATAAAGATGGGGCAAGCCTAGCCCTCCCCCCTCTTTGGGTCTATACAATATGTTGCGTGCGACTGTGTTGCTTGTGTTGCCAAATAAAATCCTCTATGTTCCTCTGCAAAGGGGCCAGTTCTGTTTTAGTTATGGGTATGGCGAGTGCTTGGAAGAGGAAGAGGAGGACGTTCATTTTTATCGTATGGACCCTTCCTATCCAGGATATAGGTTTTTCAGTACATGTGTTGAGATCTGCGCCAAGGGTCTTAAGAAGGGGTGTGTAATTCGCCCCGTACAGTTTTGTGGGGCCTGTGGTCAATTGTATCCCCAAGTATTTTATGGAATTTTGCGCTATAGGTATGTGGTGTTGGTTCCTTATGTATGACGTGTCGTTCATTGTCATGGCTATTGGGAGTGCGGTGGATTTGGACAGGTTGACCTTATATCCCGATAGGTCTCCATATTCTGTTAATTCTCTGTCTAAGGCCATCATTGAGTTCCCTGGGTTTGTAAGTGTGAGAAGGACGTCATCCGCGTATCCTGATACTTTATATGTTTGGTCACCCACTCTGATTCCCTGTATAGATTGGTTCGATCTAATTGCTTGCAGTAGGGGTTCCAATGGGAGTACGAACAGGAGGGGTGACAGTGGGCAGCCCTGTCACATGCCGTTGTGTAGGGTGATATGGGTTGTTGTGCGCCCGGGATCCGAATGTGTGCCTTGACGTCTGTGTACATGGCTTGGATCGTTGTGATGTACTGGTCGGGGAAACGGAGATGTCTGAGGAGTTGGAACAGGTATGTCCATTTTACCCTATCGAACGCCTTTTCGCTCAATAGAATTTTCAGTGCTGGGCTTTGTCAGTTGCCCAGCACCAACCTTAAAGGACCACTATAGTGCCAGGAAAACATACTCGTTTTCCTGGCACTATATTGCCCTGAGGGTGCCCCCACCATCAGGGACCCCCTCCCGCCCGGCTCTGGAAGGGGGAAAGGGGTTTAAACTTACCTTTTTCCAGCGCTGGGCGGGGAGCTCTCTGCCTCCTCTCCGCCCCGCCGGCTGAATGCGCACGCGCGGCAAGAGCTGCGCGCGCATTCAGCCGGTCTCATAGGAAAGCATTTACAATGCTTTCCTATGGACGCTGGCGTGCTCTCACTGTGAAAATCACAGTGAGAAGCACGCAAGCGCCTCTAGTGGCTGTCAATGAGACAGCCACTAGAGGATTAGGGGGAAGGCTTAACCCATTCATAAACATAGCAGTTTCTCTGAAACTGCTATAATTATGAAAAAATGGGTTAACCCTAGAAGGACCTGGCACCCAGACCACTTCATTAAGCTAAAGTGGTCTGGGTGCCTAGAGTGGTCCTTTAATGCATTGGGCATACTTGATTTAATTTAAAAAAAAAATTAAATACAAGATACTGAAAATAGACAGTAGATGGCAGCAACATCCCACTCTTTTAGTTTAGGATTTAATTTTGCCAGCATCAGTACATACATTAGCAGAGGAAACTTTTGGTATTACAATTAAATTAGAGATTAAGATTCAATATTCGCATAAATAGTAGGTTTTGTATTTGGTTTATAATGAATTTTAGAATTAGGTTTCATATTAGGGCCAGCAAAGAATCCCTCTGGTGAAAAAGCTGCAAGGGAATTTATCTGCTGACATCAGCAGAGGGAATCCCAGCACTATTTGTACTATTAGGATTGAGATTAGCATTAAGGTTATAATTAGATATAGGGATATAATTTGGGTATGGGTTAGGATTAAGGTGAGGTTTATTAAAAGAGTTTGGGTTACAATTAAGGTTTGGTTAAAAGTTTAGAAAGGGATTAAGATTGTTACTTTGCAAAGGTATACATATGGGTTATTGTTGTACAGTATAGTTAAAGGACCACTATAGGCACCCAGACCACTTCAGCTCAATGAAGTGGTCTGGGTGCCAGGTCCATCTAGGGTTAACCCTGTATGTTTACAATAGGGTAATCCAGCCTCTAGTGGCTGTCTCATTGACAGCCGCTTGAGGCGCTTCCGCGATTCTCACTGTGAAAGTCACAGGAGGCCCCCCCATAAGCACTCTTACCCAAAGCTCTTTAACCATTCTTGAACGGTTTAATCCCAAAGTGAGCCTGCAGGGCCGATCTCAACTCCCTCCACTTGGCATCCGGTTTATAAAATCTCAGTGCCGCTAGGCAGGGGTGCCATTGTTTGGCTGAGAACGGTCAGCTGACACTCTCAGCCAATCAGTAACTCCTCATTCACAAAACTGGATTGGAAAAGTACGATCCTATGTATGCAGGCACTGAATGTTGCAAAAAAAGATTAATTGATTCAATGCATCTCTATAAGGAGATGGGTATTGGCGCAGGCTGGTGTTTTGCGTTCATAAAAACTGATGTCAGCCATGGAGATGGGGCAATGCGGGGCCAGTCACAGTGCTGGAAAAATGTAAAGTCACCTGTAAAAAGAGTGTGTCGGGGACAGAAATTGTTTACCACTGTGGCGTCAGAAATACATGTTTGTGTTCCTGACACTATAGTGTTCTTTTAAGAATGAAAAGAGGCGTATAAGATTTTTTTTCTGATCAGCTATTTTTGCATCAGTTGTTCTATTTGGATTTAATTTGTGAAAATTCAGTTTTGTGAATAATCCATTAATGTCCAGGGCTCTATACAGGGATCTCTCTTACTGGAATTATTTCCAGGATGTGTGGTTTTTTGGGGTTTTTTTTTTTTAAATTGAATATTCAAAGTAAATTTTGAATTTAAATTGGCACTGTAACCCAAATATTATAAATGAGTATTTCATAAAGTTAGTATCTTTATGAAATACTCATGATGACTGTGTTGGAATTTCACTGAAATTCATTTAGTATTGGAAGTTACAGGCATAATGTTGCAATGAGTGAGTTATGTTTTCAAGCTAAACCGTAAAAAAAAAAAAAAAGGAAGAAGAAGAGGGTTTGCTCGTACCAAAACATCGCTGTCGTGGGGACAGTGTTTAGACTGTACCTTTGGGAACCAAAAAATTAAAAGGAAGTGGACTTATTTTCACATTAGGAGTTATTTAAATATTCCAGATGAGCAATGCGGTCGTATTTTATAAATATCCTGAATTAGTTTCTTTGATTAGACAATCTGAGCACCATAACTTCATCTCATGTAAAGTATTATAGTGTCTGGAGGGCATTAACTCTTCATTAGTCATACCAATTCATACCAGTGTTCGGCAGCAGCAATTAAAAGTTTGAGAGCTCGCTTTGTCACCCATTGTTGCTTGAACTAAAAAACATAAAAAAGGCTGCGCAGCGGGCAACCAGGGACCCTTATATAGTGCGGAACCTGACATCACGGGGACACTAGGCACCAACATATCTTCAATGAGATGAAGTGGTAATGGAGCCTAGAGAGTCTCTATGACGGACACTAAGCACCATAATCACTGCGGCTCAGTGTAATGGTGCAAACTGTGTCAATGCTCTCCACAACATTTACAGACAGAGTGGACACAAAAAAAGAAGAGAAAAAAAATGGAAAAGAAATACAGTACACAAGACCTGCTGCATGGCTAAAGACTAGTCACATTCATGAGGGAGGGATTACCTGGCAGCAGGCAGGGTTTGCCCTTGGGCACCTTGTCTGCCCCGCATACAGTAAATGTGTGAGTGCCATCGTTCAGGCGGATGGTGGCGCCCCCTGCTGGCCGGACCAATATCACCGAGCCCTGCATCCACACCAGCCCAATGTCCAGGGCGCAGCCGCACGGCCGCTCCAGGATAAACGGAGAGGAAGCGGCGGGGCCCGGGCGTTTCTTGCACTCCCTGAGCCGGTCCGCTGACATTTTCACGGGGGGATAGTCGAATAAATGCGGGTCTCCGCCGGACCCCGACTTAGTGCCGGTATCCTCCATACTAACTCCGCCTGTGGGGAGGGAAATGGCGCGCTCCGGCAATGTGTGCGGCGGGGCCAATCACACCCAGCCATCACCGCCGGACAGCCTGTTATAAGACGGCTATAACGCTGACAGCCTATTATAACACGGCTATAACGCTGACAGCCTATTATAACACCGGGAACTGAGAGACTATTATAACACCGGGAACTGACAGCCTATTATAACAAAGGGGACTGACAGCCTATTATAACACTGGGGACTGACAGCCTATTATAACACTGGGGACTGACAGCCTATTATAACAAAGGGGACTGACAGCCTATTATAACAAAGGGGACTGACAGCCTATTATAACAAGGGGACTGACAGCCTATTATAACACCGGGGACTGACAGCCTATTATAACACCGGGGACTGACAGCCTATTATAACACCGGGGACTGACAGCCTATTATAACAAAGGGGACTGACAGCCTATTATAACACCGGGGACTGACGGCCTATTATAACAAAGGGGACTGACAGCCTATTATAACACCGGGGACTGACAGCCTATTATAAGACGGTTATAACACCGGGAACTGAGAGACTATTATAAGACGGCTATAACACCGGGGACTGACAGCCGGACAGCCTATTATAAGACGGTTATAAGACCGGGGACTGACAGCCTATTATTACAAAGGGGACTGACAGCCTATTATAACACTGGGGACTGACAGCCTATTATAAGACGGTTATAACACCGGGGACTGACAGCCGGACAGCCTATTATAAGACGGTTATAAGACCGGGGACTGACAGCCTATTATTACAAAGGGGACTGACAGCCTATTATAACACTGGGGACTGACAGCCTATTATAAGACGGTTATAACACCGGGGACTGACAGCCGGACAGCCTATTATAAGACGGTTATAAGACCGGGGACTGACAGCCTATTATAAGACGGCTATAACACCGGGGACTGACAGCCTATTATAAGACGGCTATAACACCTTGGACTGACAGCCTATTATAAGACGGCTATAACACCGGGGACTGACAGCCTATTATAAGACGGCTATAACACCGTGGAGTGACAGCCTATTATTAGACGGTTATAACACTGGGGACTGACAGCCTATTATAAGATGGCTATAACACCGGGGACTGACAGCCGGACAGCCTATTATAAGACGGTTATAACACTGGGGACTGACAGCCAGACAGCCTAATATAAGACGGCTATAACACCTGGAACTGACAGCTTATTATAAGACGGTTATAACACTGGGGACTGACAGCCGGACAGCCTATTATAAGACTGCTATAACTCTGGGGACTGACAGCCGGACAGCCTATTATAAGACGGCTATAATACCGGGGACTGACAACCTATTATAAGACGGTTATAACACCGGGGACTGACAGCCTATTATAAGACGGTTATAACACCGGGGACTGACAGCCTATTATAAGACGGCTATAACACCGGGGACTGACAGCCGGACAGCCTATTATAAGACGGCTATAACTACGGGGACTGACAGCCTATTATAAGACGGTTATAACACCGGGGACTGACTGCCGGACAGCCTATTATAAGACTGCTATAATCCTAGGGACTGACAACCGGACAGCCTATTATAAGACGGCTATAATACTGGGGACTGACAGCCTATTATAAGACAGCTATAACACCGGGGACTGACAGCCCATTATAAAATGGTTATAGCACCGGGGACTGACAGCCGGACAGCCTATTATAAGACGGCTATAACACCGGGGACTGACAGCCTATTATAAGACGGCTATAACACCAGAGACTGACAGCCTATTATAAGACGGTTATAACACCGGGGACTGACAGCCTATTATAAGATGGCTATAACACCGGGGACTGACAGCCTATTATAAGATGGCTATAACACCGGGGACTGACAGCCTATTATAAGACGGTTATAACACCGGGGACTGACAGCCGGACAGCCTATTATAAGACAGCTATAACACCTGGAACTGACAGCTTATTATAAGACGGCTATAATACCGGGGACTGACAGCCGGACAACCTTTTATAAGACGGCTATAACACCGGGGACTGACAGCCGGACAACCTTTTATAAGACGGCTATAACACCGGGGACTGACAGCCGGACAGCCTATTATAAGACTGCTATAACACCGGGGACTGACAGCCGGACAACCTTTTATAAGACGGCTATAATCCTGGGGACTGACAGCCGGACAGCCTATTATAAGACGGCTATAATACCAGGGACTGACAGCCTATTATAAGATGGTTATAACACTGGGGACTGACTGCCGGACAGTCTATTATAAGACTGCTATAATTCCGGGGACTGACATCCGGACAGCCTATTATAAGACGGCTATAATACCGGGGACTGACAGCCTATTATAAGACGGTTATAACACTGGGGACTGACAGCCTATTATAAGACGGCTATAACACCAGGGACTGACAGCCTATTATAAGACGGTTATAACACTGGGGACTGATAGCCTATTATAAAACGGCTATAGCACCGGGGACTGGCAGCCGTGCAGCCAGAGAGCTTCTTGGTCTCTCTCACTCTCACTAACTCTCGGATGAAAGCAAAGTCCTGGGAGCAGAATGTACCAGGGATATTCTGTAAATAGTGAATTATCCGAAATTCAGCAAATATTTGTACAGTTTAGGCCATAATAGTCGGATTGGAAGTTTCTCAGCTCGGCTATTTCGTGTAAAAATAAGAATATGTAATGGGGATACTGTCTAATATTAGTGCAGTGTTAGTGCAGGGCTGCTGTGGCTCCCTCAGGATAGGAAAAAGCATCAAAACATGGAAATGGCACAGTGTCCTTTTTATGGAAACACGGAGAAAGGGACAGGGGTCCTGAAATCCCTCTTATTTGGTGATCATTGAATGGATTTAACCAGGGGTCCATGTCAACTAAGTTGCACATTGTACTGTTTCTATGATTTTTATGCTTTCAGCTTTTTCATAGGTTCTTTAGAGGTAGACCTGCCCCACTGACCAGCTACAGGGCACCTTAGTTACCTGGGTACACCGATGTGTTGGGATGATAAGCCTGCTTTTCCAGGCGGGTCTACCCAAACAACCAGCACAACCCCGTAATCCTGCTTTCTTCCCTATTCACCTCTGTGGCCAGGTATCCTATTTATCCTGCACAACTATGCTGGCTTAAAGGAACACTATAGCGTTGGGAATACAAATAGGTATTCCTAACGTTATTTGTCCTGTAGCAGTTTGGCTAAGATTGTTAGCTGTATTAGTAGCACCACATTCACTAAACAGCTTGAGAGTAATATATACATTTCTCAAGCTGTTTTGTGAATGGGGGGGGCTACTGATCGGCTTAGAGCGTGAACAGACCAGGTAAGTAAGCCAAGACTAGTGCCAACATCAGTGCATGACAGCCGTAATGGTTGTCATGTCTCGGCGGGCCTGGGGTGTCCGGATTGCTCGGGGAGACAAAGTCTACCTCTGAAATTGTAATCCTGATTGCTATCTAGTTTAATGAAGAGGTGGCCTGCCCCATAAGACACACTAGATTCCCCTTACGGCGAGTCTTGACTGCTGAGCGTTGCCGTGGGTTACCACGGCTAAGCTCTAACGCTGCAAACATGCCTGGCCTGTATGGGGGGAGAAAACTGGAGTCTCCTGGACCACCTCTTTACTATTTGAGACAGCAAGCTGCAGTGCCAATGCCCTCTCCCCGATGGCAGGGAGGGGAGAATAAACTTAAAAATGTAAAAAAAAAAATGAGTTTACTTATTCCAGACTGGGAAAAAAATTCAGCCCGGGCATTTTTCAATAACAGGGCAGGGCCAGAGAGGGTGTGTTTTGTCATTACTAATGACAAGAACGCCCCCTCTCAAAGTGAGCATGTTGGTTCAATGCACAGAGCCCTGCTGAAGAGCTCTAGCATGAGAAAAATGCCCTGTATGTGTTCTGCGCAGTGCAAGCAAATTTAATAACATGCTTGCGCTGTGTTTGCTTTTCACTTGTCTCTGGTGTCTCCATAAGTGGGTACCAGAGGACAAAAGAGCCAGGAAATCGTATGGTGCATGTGTTTGGAGCCTGCTTGTGGGATTGCGTGTATTGTAGAGTGAGCTGATTGTGGTGTGGTGTTGTGTAAATAGGTTGATTTAATTCTTGTTTGTGGTGTAATATGTGGCTAGGGACTGTAGAGAGTGTTTGCATACGGGCTGTAGTGTGTGTAGGGCTTGTAGACAGTGTGTGTTTAGAGAATGCTGTGTGTGTTTGCTTACAAGTAATGTAGTGTGTGCATAGGAGATACAGAGTTTGTATGTCAGGAATGTAGTGTGTGTAGGTGGTGCAGTGTGTGTGTGTGGGGGGGGGATCTAGTGTAAAGGACCCAGAGTGTGTCTAGTAGAGTGTGTGTGTATGTGTTTGTGTAGCGGATTCAGAGTGTATATAGGGTTAGGGATCTAGCGTGTATCTGGAGCAAAATGTATGTAGGGGTGCTGTAGTGTGAGTGTTCTTATCTGCCGTCACATTCTATGTTTCTAATTTTCTTTGCCTGTTAACTCACTGAGGGTTATTTCATATATTACACATATGTGTGTGTGTGCTGTATATGTGTGAGAGTGTGCTGTGTGTTGTGTGTGTTTGAGGGTCCTATGTGTGTGAGGGTGCTGTGTGTGAGGGTACTGTGTGTTTGAGGGTGCTATGTGTGTGAGGGTTCTGTGTGTGTGAGTGCTGTTAGTGTGAGTGTAAAAATGTTTATTTAAATCTGTATTTTTTTGTATTTAAAAATAACAAAAACGTTATATCCTCCCCTCCCTTCTTACCTTTAGTCTGGGAGGGGGGAGACCCGTGCTGTCATTGAGGAGGGTGCCATGCTGCCTTCCCTGGTGGTCTCAGTGGTGAGAGTGAACTCTAGTCTGCAGGGCTAGAGTTTACTCTCGTGAGATACTCAGACCTCGTGAGAGGAACCCGGCGGAGCTGCTGGCTAGAGCTCCCCGGGTCCTCTCCTGCCTCCCTCCCTCCCCAGCCGGCGGCCGCTTGTAACTGCCTGTGGGCCGGTGAGGGAGATCTTTGATCTCCCCACCGGCCTCTGAAGGCATACAGCAGGGTCGGCACTCGGATAGCGCTGGCTCTGCATGGGCCGACAGGTGAGATCCTGTAATCTCCCCTGCCAGCCTCAGCCCACAAAAACACTGCATCTACTACACACCCACTGCATTCACTACACACCCATATTGCAAGTACTTAGTGCCGGACTGGCCCACCGGGATACCGGGAAATTTCCCGGTGGCCTGCGGCACCTGGGGGCGGACACACAGCCCTAATCATCAGGCACATGTAATTTAAATGATTTTCCCCTCGGACTGTGCCAGCCTGTGTCAAGGGAGTAATGAGGGAAGAGCTGGGGGATGGTGCTGCCGCAATTACGGTTGCATGCCCCGCCCCCATACTTAAGCCTCACCTGCTGAACATAAGTCCCTCCCAAGAGGGAAGTTGCTGACCTCGCTGGAATAATGAGGCCAGACATTGACACCTTCACCTACCAGGCCAGGTATGCTTTGTAAATGTGCTAGTGAGTGAGCTTGTGTGTGTGTGTGTGTTTGCATCTGCTAGTGAGTGAGTGAGCTTGTGTGTGTGTGCACGTATCTGTTAGTGAGTGAGCTTCTGTGTGTGTGCATCTGCTAGTGAGTGAGTGAGCTGTGTGTGTGTGTGTGTGCGTGCAACTACTATTTGGGGAGTTTGTGTGTGCATGTGTGCCTGCTAGTGAGTGAGCTTATGTGTGTGTGTGCCTGCTAGGGAGTGAGCTTATGTGTATGTGCCTGCTAGTGAGTGAGCGCGTCTGCTAGTGAGTGAGCTTGTGAGTGTGTGTGCCTGCTAGTGAGTGAGCTTGTGTGTGTGTGCCTGCTAGTGAGTGAGAGTGTTTGCCTGCTAGTGAGTGAGCTTTTCTGTGTGTGTGCCTGCTAGTGAATGATCTTGTGTGTGTGTGCTAGTGAGGGAGCTTCTGTGTGTGTGTAAGTTTGTGTGTGTGCCTGCTAGTGAGTGAGCTTCTGTGTGTGTGTGTGTGTGTGTGTGTGTGTGTGTGTGTGTGTGTGTGCGCGCAGCTTCTGCTAGCCTGCTAGGGAGTGAGCTTATGTGTATGTGCCTGCTAGTGAGTGAGCTTCTGTGTGTGCTGTGTGTGTGTGCGCCTGCTAGTGAGTGAGTGATGAGTGTATGTGCCTTCTAGGGAGTGAGCTTATGTGTATGTGCCTGCTAGTGAGTGAGCTTGTGTGTGTGTGTGCCTGCTAGTGAGTGAGCTTGTGTGTGTGTGTGTGCCTGCTAGTGAGTGAGAGTGTTTGCCTGCTAGTGAGTGAGCTTTTCTGTGTGTGTGCCTGCTAGTGAGTGAGCTTGTGTGTGCTAGTGAGGGAGCTTCTGTGTGTGTGTGTGAGTTTGTGTGTGCCTGCTAGTGAGTGAGCTTCTGTGTGTGTGTGTGTGTGTGTGTGTGTGTGCGTCTGCTAGTGAGTGAGCTTCTGTGTGTGTGTGTGTGTGTGTGTGTGCGTGCTAGTGAGTGTGTGTGTGCTAGTGAGGGAGCTTCTGTGTATGCGCCTGCTAGTCTGTAGTAAGCATTTGTGTGACCTTGAGCTTGTCTGTAGTGACCATGTGTGTGTCAGTGAACTTGCCTGTAGTTAGCATTTGTGTGTGTCAGTGAGCTTGTCTCTAGTTAGCATGTGTGTCAGTGAGCTTGTCTATAGTGAATATTTGTGTTAGTGAGCTCTTCTGTAGGAAGCATGTGTGTGTCAATGGGCCTGTCTGGAGGGAGAGTGTGTGCGCGTCCATGAACTTATCTGTAGTGAGCGTGTGTGTGTGATAGTGAGCTTGTCTGTTGTAAGCTTGTGTGTGTATCAGTTTGTCTGTACTAAATTTGTGTGTGTGTACCAGTAAGCTTGTCTGTGTGTGTCATTGCGATTGTCTGTTAGTGAGCCAATTTGTGTGCATCAGTGAGCTTGTGTTTTTATGTCAATGAGCTTATTTATATCAATGAGATTGTCAGTGAGCCAGTGTAGTAGATGTAGTCTGTGTCTGCATGTGAGTATGCTTTACTGTATAATTTAATTACCCTGAAAGAACTAATATTTTGAATTAGAAAAATAACTTTACCAATAATATATATATAGATTATTGGTATATATACATATATATATATATATATATATATATATTATTGGTATACATGCCAGCCCCATAAGTCATTGTGCTATGTAGTATGTGTGTGTTTAAATATATATATATATATATATATATATATGTGTGTGTGTGTGTGTGTGTTTAAATATATATATATCTATATATATATATGTGTGTGTTTAAATATATATATATATATATATATATATATATATATATATACATTGTAGCCGTATTAGTGTTTTTTACATCTATATATATATATATATATAGAGATTGTATATATATATATATATAGAGATTGTAGCCGTATTAGTGTTTTTTACATCTATATATATATATATATATATATCTATATATATATATATATATATATTAAAACACACACACACTACATAGCACAATGACTTATGGGGCTGGTATAGATTTTTTTCCCCAGGGCTGCTTTGTATCCCCAGTCCAGTCCTGCAACCACTACACTGCACACACAGACTACATCTCCTACACACACTCCGCATCCACTATACACACTGCATCTACTACAAATACATACTCTGCATCCACTATGCACACACACTACATCCCTTACACACCATGCACTTGTGGGTGGAGTCAAGTGTGCGTACTATGGAAAATCAGAGACAGCCCCAATGCGTCTAATTTCTGAAAGGTGCCCAAAATATCCGAAGGCAGCTCTGCCAGGGACCATCTGCCACCATAACAACTTAATTCCAATGAAGCTGTTGAGGAGCCCTTTAAAAAGGTGTTCCTTTAAAAACACTTGGCACTGCAAGGGCAATTACATGGCAGCTAGCCAATGCTTGCTAGTCAACCGCCACATTAGAAAAGTAAACATAATAAAATAGCCTATCGGGGTCAATAAGACACTTATATTACTATATCAGAGGTTTTAAACCTTCCAATTGCCCCACCTGCCATGTTGCAGGTGGGGGTATATCTCCTAAATGTTTAACTCTACCGACTGGGCAGGTAGATGTTGATGAGGTCTGTAACAGGGGGTCACCAAATGGTGCCAAATAAGGCTTCAAAGCTGGAAAAGCCTTTATAGAGGTTTATTAGAGTGCTCTGATCGTTTGGCTTCTAAACCAAAGAGCACTCTGACAGGCAAGTCTCACTTCTCTTGAGACTTGCTGTGGGGAAAATAGTACTTAAACGAACGCTCCAGCTTTACTAAAAGTGCAGATTTCAATAGAAATTGGCAGTTTTATAAATCAACCTTGTTACACCTCCCTGTCTGTCAGTCAGACAACTGGTCCTATCATTGTGCTGCCTGGGCTCTAGGATTAAATGCTGCTCCCAACAAAAAAATATTTATGCCTCTGCAATTGTTGTGTCTCTATGTGGGTGTGCTGGGAGTGAAGTGTGTGTGCTGTGTCTGTGTATTTACATGTGTGCCAGTGTTTGAATCTGTGTGTCTATATCTGTGTGTTAGTGATTGTATCTGTTTGTCTATGTATCTGCATGTGTGGCAGTGTTTGTGTCTGTATATCTGCATGTGTATCAGTATGTCTGTGTGTCTGTATCTCTGTATGTGTTTCAGTGTGTCTGGGCATCTGCATGTGTGTCAATATATGTATCTGACACACATGCAGATACTGACACACATACAGATGTACAGAAACACGGATACACCTGCAGATACACAGACATACACATACAGACACTGACACATGCAGATACACACACTGACACATAGTTACATAGTTATATAGCTGAAAAGAGACTCAGCCTTCCTCACATATGTTGTTGCTGTTGATCCAAAAGAAGGCAAACAAACCTAGTCTGAAGCGCTTCCAATTTTGCCACAAACTAGGAAAAAAAATCCTTCTTGACCCCAAAATAGCAGTCAGATGTCTCCTTGGATCAAGCAGCTATTACCCCACTAATTAGAAATTATATACCTGTATGTTATGTTTTTGTAAGTATTTATCCAATTGCAGTTTAAACATCTGTGGTGACTCTGACAAAACCACCTCTTCAGGCAGAGAATTCCATATCCTTATTGCTCTTACTGTAAAAAAAAACCCTTTCCTTGCCTTAGACACACATGCAGATACACAGACATAAAGATACACACTACACACACAGATACACATTACACACATACAGTAAACACAAACTACACACAGATACACACGCTACATACATACAGACACACACACACACACACAGATACACACAATACACACACATTACACACATATAGATACACATACACAGATACACACATTACATACACACACACTGCATAAAGATACACACATACAGATCCACGCACACTACACACAACACACAGATACAAACATATTGCATACATATAGATACACACACTACACATACACAGATACACACAAACACATTGCACACATACAAACACACAGATACCCACACATTACACACATACAAACAGATACACACACACAAACACATAGCTACACACACATATAAACACACATTAAAATAATTAAGCCACCCAGCAGGTCCTTACCTTCTGCTGGCTGTGGCTGGTGGGAGTTTGGGGCCGCCACTCCCGCACAGCTGTGTGAGTGAGCTGGGAGGAAGTAATACGCTGTCACTTCCTCCCATCTCTCTGTGCACGATAGAAGAGGCCCGGTCGTGCTGTTAAAGCACCACAGCACACGACCGGGTCCCTCATATGCCCATTACAGATTCCCAACCCGGACGTTGCTGCTGCACCGCTGCCATGGGTTGGAAACTCCTGCTTTAGATTATGACAGGGGTGGCAAAATTCCTCCCCTGTCAGAGTGCAGCCTGGAGCCGTGGCTCCAACATGGTCTATGGACGGGCTGGCCCTGTGTCCTATTAATTCCTAGTTTAGCTCAGTGGAGCTAAACTCAGGAAGCAGGCAATTGTTCAGAGCATCTTCTTTGTGAAGACTTCTCACAAAGCTGTGTTGAGAAGTCTGTAATTGAGTTATTACATTTTAAAAATAATGGTGTCCCTCCCATGGTCAGTGGGTGTAGGCCACTAATTTTATATGGCCACGCAGTCACTATTTGTCATGGTGCCCTCCTCTACTTTGTTTGGAGCTGGGTACATCGTGTCCACGCCATAGTGAACCCTTTGATTAATATGGTCTAATTAAGGGATGAACAAGAATACCTATACTTTGTAAACTGTGTATAAAGTCCACTTAGCAACACCATCTAATTAGAACAGCTATGTATCCATTAGTGTGCGGTGGCTAACAGACTCCGTTTTACTGGAAGTTAGGTATCAGTTCAAACGTGATAGTGTATATCACTGTTTATTGTTGATTTGTCTGTCTGACCATATTCAGTTCATTCCTTAGTTTTGGTTCAATTTTTTACAACCTCTACACACTACAGCCACTAATTACTTGTACATTGTTACTTTGGAGGTATCGATTTACTGAACTATTAAATTACTCCTATCTGAGAATACTTATAATAGCTATTAAATCCTCTTACTACTTGAAGTGGCCTTTGAGACAACTTTACCCAGAATTTTAAAGGTGTATTATCACTATGTTTATTCACAATGTCACATTTGTTTGGGTTTTGGTTTTTCACATAGAACCTACTGTTCTAGTTAGGCTCTTTATATTTTAATATCCTAATATTCGGCTTTAATAAAGGTGTATGCCACCTATACAAATTTTTACTTTTAAAGGAACTTCTTTTGGTGGAGTGGAAGTCCGCAAACTTTAAGTGGGCGGTCGTCCCATCCTGCTTTATTTTTCGTCTATATCAAAGGCTTATACCATATTTATGGATACTTAATTCGTTTGGAGGTTCTCGTTTAAGGATGAGGGACTCCCAACATATTTGTGAGGAGTTATCCTGACTCAATCTAGTAGTTTCTGTTCTCTTATAAGAGCTAGTGGTATAGCTGTATAGCGGTTCCCTACAATCACGAAACGAGGCTACATGTTGAGGGATAAGCAGGAATGGTTTAATGGTAGCCACACTGGCCTTTTATGACAGTCCCCACGGAAGAGGTATGCCCACATTGACTTTGTTGGGGACAAGGACACAAACTTACAAACCAATAATAACAGAGTTACATTGCATGACACTCCCACATACAATACAATAAGCTTTACTTAGGAGATAATTGAGTCAAGCACTATACTAAACTCAATTATCTCCAAACACAAAAAACACATTTTTACAAAACCCCCCAAATACCTTAACACACATAAAATCCCCATAAAAGTTACATCCCTTGATATCCCTGATCTGGGTGACCAACATATCCAAAAATCACCCAGATCAGTTCAGGGTTTCAGAAATTTTATGGAAGTCATAATTTTTACCGACCGCAGGCATGGTACCATAGCCAAAAATAGTTCCATAGAATCATGGCTAAGTGCCGCTGGAGGACCGACCGGGAACCGCTAAGTTTTCATGCCGAAAATAGTTCCAGGGCATTTGCGGCTAAGTTGCCCTGAAGTCTATTTGTGGTTTTAGTCCATGCGAACAAGATGGCCACCACCTCGTGGTCGTCCATCGGAATAGCAGCCACCCGGACAAACACTTAGACTACTGCGATGGAAATTGCAACAATGTATCAATAAGGGTGGTCTCTGGTTCGTGCGGCTGCTCAGTTACTAAACCATCTGATTCAAATAGGCAAACGGAGACTTTTATAACACAGTTTACTGGGTCCATAGACTGTGGGCAAGAGGCTGGCAAGTATGCCCCTCCAAGAACCCATGACGAGGTCTAGTTTGTCACACCATCACCCCCTCCCTCCCACATCACCCCCCCTCCCTCTCACATAACCCCATCACCCCCCTCCTCCCATCACTCTCTGACGATCAAACCCCTCCCTCACAACATCACCCCCTCTCACCCTAAACTCCCTTCCCTCTCCCCATCACCCCCCTCTCCCTCTTCCTCCGATCACCCCCTCCCCCTCACACAATCAACCCCCTCTCCCTCTCAGTATCACCCCCCTCTCACATAATCTCACCATCACCCCCATCCCTCTCACCATCAACCCCCCTTCCTCTTACCATCACCCCCTTCCCTCACACCATCACCCCTGCCCTCCCCCTCACCACCACCCACCTCTCCCTCTCAACATCACCCTCATCCCTCTCACCATCACCCCCTCCCTACCTTACACCATCACCCTCCTCCCTCCCTCACACCAACACCCTCTCACACACAGTATCACCCCCTCACACACAACTTTCCCAGACACAGTGTTGGCATCCTCTGACTCTGTCAACTCCCCACACATTGTCACCCCTCCCTGCACTGTCGTCACCCTCCACACTACTAGCCTCTTCATGCATCCACACTCACATTAACCACTCCTAATTCTGATGATCTCACCCCCTCCGAACTCACCTACATTCACTCTGCTACACTCACCCTGTCACATTAACCCCCCTTAATCCTGTCACACTCGTCCCTCCTACCGTGCCACAATTGCCCTGACACACTTACTTCCACTCGCTCTATCACACTCCCTCTTTAAACAATGTCATACTCCCTGTCCCTCATTCTCTCTCATAACCCCCCCCACCACCACCACCACCACCCTGTCCATTTATCCCCTTCGCCCTGTCACACTCTCCCTGCCACTGGTACTCCCTTTACTCACCTTGTCACCGTCACCAGCTGAAGACATTCATCATACACACACAGTCAGGAAACATAGCTTTGCCACAAACACAATGCATAAAGGCTACAGGCAGACCCCCATACAAACAACACATTTCAAGCAGCTACCCCATACACATCCGGTCCCAGAAAAAAATGCAAACAGAAGGATACTCTCACACTCAGAAGGATACTCTCTGTCAGACACACTCTCAGGCACATACACAGTTAAACTTTGCATCAATGTGTATATGTGACAGTGAGCATGTATTTCACTTTTTTGTTAGCGGGGCCTCATGTTTGAGTTTCAATAAAGTCTAGAGCCACCTCTGATTCTGTCTCCCTGAACTTGGCTTGTCTTATACTACTTTATTTTGCGTTGAAGGGACACTATAGGCACTCAGACCACTTCATCTCATTGAGGTGATCTGGGTGCACTGTCCCTGTTTCCCTTAGTTCTGCAATGTAAATCATTGCAGTTTTTTGAGAAACTGCAATGATTGCTTTGCAGCCACTATAGGTGCCAGATAAAGACCTTACTGAAGGGAATCCAAAAAACAAATGCACATCTACCCCCTCAAAGACTACCCATCCACAATAAAATATTCCAAGCATTGTCCGACTTGTTAGATACAGCTCCATTCGAACATATCACCAACATGGTCATTAAAACAGCCATCTATCTAGCCTTTTATGGATTTTTACGTCTAAATGAATTCACCACCAGTAATGTAACAGCCACAGACTACATTAAAATAACCGATATCAACAAATCCTTAGACCATTACGTTCTGTCACTTCATATAATCAAAACTATGGGACGCTGGAAATCTTCTGCTTATACTCTATACATACCAAACCCAGTTAAAGAGTTACGGCAAGCTTTTCGTGATTTGTGCAAATAATTGATGTTGTAATATGAATAAAATTTTGTATGGTACACTTCTTTTTCCCTCTTTATTACAGGCCTACTGCATTTTCGGTTCTGGCACACCACAACTGACTTGTGTTATTTAACTATGTTTATTGTTTATGAATTATATGTTATCTTACCATCATGGCAATATTGCACCGACCACAAATATAGTATATATGTATATAATATAAAATTTTAGTTCACACTGTTTTAAAACTTTATTAATTTTATTTCAGGCAGCAGGGGGACTACCGGTCATTCCAGGCACTCCCCTGCTGGCACTGCTATGGACGGCTATTCCGTCCATGTGATCGTGAGGTCTTCACAAAGACCTCTCGATCACATGGCCCAGGAGGGCCGGATCGGCAGCAGGGAGACTCCCTGTGATGCCAGGTAAGTCCCCCCCCCCATCGCGATCGCCGGCGAGCAGGTAAGTGAATAGGATGGTGTGGACGCCCGCCATTCTTAAGGGGTTACTAATCCCATAGACTTTATTTAATTTTTTTATGTGGCATCTGGCTAACAAGCGCTGGCCAGCTGCCACATAATTAACCCTTGTAGTAACCAGCGGGCAAATAGTACTTCAAATGACCAATTCACTTGCAAAAAGCAAGGGAAGAATAATTTGCAAATGTGCATGCATTTGGTTCCAATTTGTTTTAATACCAGTGGTTTGCGAATCTTCCAAATCTCATCCTTTCTATAGGGTTCCGAGGCAAAAGCCCCGATTTTAATCCAAACATTCAGACGATTCACACATTCAGGGTAATTCACTAAATAAAGAGATGTTGGAATTACAAAGTGCTATACGTGCCATCAGAGGAACTCTTTACTAAAGAGATAGAGCAGAGAACCAAAGTCATGTCCCAATGTCTAGTCTTGGTGGTGGTGATGATAATGCTGTTTCCCCCACAACTGTAGACAATGCACTTTTCCTTTTATGCCAGGAGCTACCCGACTATGACCCAGAGAAATTACTGCCAGGCTTAGTTTAATGAAGAGAAATTCTCATGAAGGAGTTAACCAGCACCCGGCAGACCCCAGGTAAGTTTCTAAAACCATTGACAAATGGCTTCACCAATAACTATTTGTGTGGGCACTGGAGCAATCCTCCTGACACCATAACCACTACAGCAGGATATAATATTTGTTGATCTCCTGTGTCACCTACTACGAGCTGTGGATCTGAAGGGGGCGTTGTTTATACTAATTAGCCACAAAGGGCTACTATTGCACATGCTGTAATCAATATACCCACCATTTTCCTACTGTTTTAATTATTTATTTATTTTTTTGTATTTATTTGCTTTACATAATAAAATAAAATATATATTTTTTACTCCATGATACCTGGTGTTCCAGTTCTTATACCAGAGCATCTTCACAGTTCACCTTCAATAAGATGTGTTCCGTGGTGGGAAATCTTCCATATTTACATGTTGGTCCATGTATTGAATACTGAAATTTGAGCAGAGCTAGGGTTTGCCATCCAGTAAGTGTTCTGCACTGGAATGAGATTAATTCCAATGGATACATCTACATGCATTGTTTTATTTATTTGTTACATATTTCTGTTTATACAGTATCTCACAAAAGTGAGTACACCCCTTGCATTTTTTTAAATATTTTATATATCTTTTCATGTGACAACACTGAAGAAATGACACTCTGCTACAATGTAAAGTAGTTAGTGTACAGCCTGTATAACAGTGTAAATTTGCTGTCCCCTCAAAAAAACTCAACACACAACCGTTAATGTCTAAACAAAAGTGAGTACACCCCTTAGTGGAAATGTCCAAATTGGGCCTAATTATCATTTTCCCTCCCCTGTGTCATGTGACTCGTTAGTGTTACAAGGTCTCAGGTGTGAATGGGGAGCAGACGTGTTAAATTTGGTGTTATCACTCTCACACTCTCTCGTACTGGTCACTGGAAGTTCAACATGGCACCTCATGGCAAAGAACTCTCTTAGAATCTGCAAAAAAGAATTGTTGCTCTACATAAAGATGGCCTAGGCTATAGGACGATTACCAAGACCCTGAAACTGAGCTGCAGCAAGGTGGGCAAGACCATACAGCGGTTTCACAGGACAGATTAAACTCAGAAAAGGCCTCGTCATGGTCGACCAAAGAAGTTGAATGCTCAGCGTCATATCCAGAGGTTGTCTTTAGGAAATAGACGTATGATTCCTCCCAGCATTGCTGCAGAGGTTGAAGGGGTTGGGGGTCAGCCTGTCAGTGCTCAGACCATACGCCGCACACTGCATCAAATTGGTCTGCATTGCTGTTGTCCAAGAAGGAAGCGTTTTCTAAAGATGATGCACAAATAAGCCCGCAAACAGTTTGCTGAAGACATGCAGACTAAGGATTACTGGAACCATGTCCTGTGATCCGATGAGACCAAGATAAACGTATTTTGTTCAGATGGTGTCAAGCGTGTGCAGCGGCAACCAGGTGACGGGTACAAAGACCAGTGTGTCTTGCCTACAGTGAAGCATGGTGGTGGGGGTGTCATGGTCTAGGCCTGCATGAGTGCGGCACTGGGTAGCTACAGTTCATTGAGAGAACCATGAATGCCAACATGTACTGCAGGGACGTATTAGCCGCGAGGCAAACAAGGCATTTGCCTTGGGCGGCATTTTTCAGGGGGCGGCAAAAAACGCTGCCCCCAAATGCCCAGGGCAAATGCCTTGTTAGCCTCGCGGCTAACTGACATCCCGAGCGGGTGGGCGGCGCTGGCAGGCGGGTGGCTGGCGAGGGAGCTCTTCCTCTGAGCTGTCTGCTCAGCTCCCTCGCGCGCCGCAGAGTGAGGCTGGGAGCCGGAATATGACGTCATCTTCCGACTCCCAGCCTCACTCTGCGGCGCGCGAGGGAGCTGAGCAGACCACTCAGAGGAAGAGCTCCCTCGCCAGCCGCCCGCACAGCAGCCAGCGCCCAGCCCAACCGGCAGCCACTGGACCACCAGGGAGAGAAAGAACCCCTCCCCCCCCAGCACTCCCAAAGGTAAGGAGGTTGGGGGGGTTAAATTTAAAAAAAAAAGTTAATGTGAGTGATTGTGTGTGTGTCTGACTGTGTGTGTGTGTGTCTCACTGTGTGTGTGTGTGTTTGTGTCTGTGTGTGTGTGTGTGTGTGTGTTTGTGTCTGACTGTGTGTGTCTGTGTCTGACTGTGTGTGTGTTTGACTGTGTGTGTGTGTGTTTGTGTCTGACTGTGTGTGTGTGTGTGTTTGTGTCTGACTGCGTGTGTGTGTTTGTGTCTGACTGTGTGTGTGTGTGTTTGTGTCTGACTGTGTGTGTGTGTGTGTTTGTGTCTGACTGCGTGTGTGTGTTTGTGTCTGACTGTGTCTGACTGTGTGTGTGTGTTTGTGTCTGACTGTGTGTGTTTGTGTCTGACTGTGTGTGTGTGTGTGTGTGTGTGTGTGTTTGTGTCTGTGTGTGTGTTTGTGTCTGACTGTGTGTGTTTGTGTCTGACTGTGTGTGTGTGTGTTTGTGTGACTGTGTGTGTGTGTTTTTGTCTGACTGTGTGTGTGTTTTTGTCTGACTGTGTGTGTGTGTTTGTGACTGTGTGCGTGTGTGTTTGTGTCTGACTGTGTTTGTGTCTGTGTATGTGTCACTGTGTGTGTTTGTGTCTGACTGTGTGTGTGTTTGTGTCTGACTGTGTGTGTGTGTTTGTGTCTGTGTTTGTGTCTGACTGTTTGTGTGTGTTTGTGTCTGTGTGTGTTTGTGTCTGACTGTGTATGTTTGTGTCTGACTATGTGTGTGTCTGACTGTGTGTGTGTGTGTTTGTGTCTGACTGTGTGTGTGTGTTTGTGTCTGACTGTGTGTGTGTCTGACTGTTTTGTGTGTGTGTGTGTGTGTGTGTGTGTTTGTGTCTGACTGTGTGTTTGTGTCTGATGTGTGTGTGTGTGTTTGTGTGACTGTGTGTGTGTGTTTTTGTCTGACTGTGTGTGTTTTTGTCTGACTGTGTGTGTTTGTGACTGTGTGTGTGTGTTTGTGTCTGACTGTGTTTCTGTCTGTGTATGTGTCTGACTGTGTGTGTTTGTGTCTGACTGAATGTGTGTGTTTGTCTGACTGTGTGTTTGTGTCTGACTGTGTGTGTGTGTCTGACTGTGTATGTGTCTGACTGTGTGTGTCTGTGTCTGACTGTGTGTGTGTATGTGTCTGACTGTGTGTGTGTTTGTGTCTGACTGTGTATGTGTCTGACTGTGTGTGTGTTTGTGTCTGACTGTGTGTGTGTGTGTTTGTGTTTGACTGTGTGTGAGTGTGTGTGTGTTTAGAAGGTGGGGCGGGGGGAAGGGTTGGGTGGGGGTGGCGCGGGGGGAGGGGAGCGCCTGAGTTTTTTCCTGCCTAGGGCAGCACAAAACCAGGATACACCACTGATGTACTGTGACATACTGAAGCAGTGCATGATCCCCTTCCTTAGGAGACTGG